ATCATTGATCCCTGAGTTCAAACCAATCACTATTAAATGTCCTGATTCCATGAAATTTTCGCCTATGATATCCTTGGACCTGAATCAGTCTTTGATACCCTTACATAACACATGCAGTACTGGATTTTGTGCTCCAAACACCGGTCATCCGAACAATTATGTTATCAAGGAGATCATTACTAAGACAAATGGACATGACTCGGGCCAATTCAACTCCTTTTGGGCTTCCTTTATAGTGATGTAGAACTTAAGAGTGATAACAACACCACGTCCAGTTCTTGTGTCTCCAACTCTAATGTGGTCTCAAAATCGATTCTAGTGCCAATTAAGCCTTGTTTCGACAATCCATCGGTGGGAAAAACTTCCAACTCATCATCTGACTCTCGGAAGAAACCATTGTTGCATAAAAAGGATATTATTCATCCAAAAACCGAAGCTAGGAAAGCTCTTGAAAAAGAAACCAGATCTAGGAAATGCTCTAGGTTCCTTGAGCAATCCGAAAAGAAAAAGTATCGAACAATCAATCCAACTACTAGGAATCACAACACCTTCATGTGTGTTAAAATTCTTAAGAGACCATCTATTCATGTTAGCTCGAATAATCACAATACTTTTGTCAATAATGTGAAGAATGTTACTATTGAGAGCTTATCCAAGAAAAATGACTCTCCTCGGAAAACATCTTCTTCTATTTTTATTTCTACCTCGGATGGTAAAAAATTTAAACCAAAACAATTTCCAAAATCAAATGTACCTCCGAAAGCAATAAGTAAATGAAAAGATGTTCGAAACACTGATGTTCATAAACCTTCTAAATGTTCAAAACAAAATTTGAATGGAAAGTGAAAAAGTCAAAGAACTCAATTAAAACACCTCTGAACACAGTTCTTCCAGCAACATCTCCGAAAAATGTTCTTCAAAAGAAAGTTGTGCCTAAACAATCAATGGTAGAATATGAATTTTGGATAGATGAAAGGACTCTGACATTTAGCACATTTCCAAAAGAATCTCGGAAAAAGCATTCCGATATACCAACTGTTCAGAAATCTCAAGCCAAGTCCAAAGCCCTTGCTACAGTCCCTAAATCTAACTCGGGGCCAATTCCTTCTCTGAGGATTGTCCAAATTGACGAAGGTTCTACAATCAGACAAGCGGATGAGATTACTGAAGAGTCATTGCTTCCTCCTATATCCGAGTTGTTCTTACTAAATTTGGACAACAAATCATCTCCTCCATCTCATCTAAAGTAAATCTAACTATAGACAAAGGCAAACAAGTAGCAACTGAATCTGATAGCCCAATGAAGTCGTTCAAAAATTTTGAGGGTTGATCAAATTAACAATTACAACAAGCACTGGAAGAAAGCATTTAAATCTAAGAACTTAAAGACAATCCAAATCCGATGTTGGGCATTTCTCCTCTCTTCCAAGAATGGATTCTTCATGATATACACTTTATGCCCTTTATGTACTTCGATCTTGCAACACTTGATGTTGATCAACTTGACTTACCAATCTCTCCTCATGGACACTATTACATCTAGGGATGTCAAAATTTTCCATGAGACCCCTATTCCATACGAGACTAATTTTTTAAAAAAATTTAGGGGCCGGGGTGTGATTAGAACACGTTTTATTATCGAAACCGAGGTCAGGGGTGGGGTATTTCTGTCCTGTACTCCCGTGGGGCCCCGTTGTATATTTATGTAAAATATATATTTAATTTAAAACATATTTAAATAACAAATTATATGGTTTTAGGGTTCTACTTTGATTTGTCGTTCACTATGCCTATTACTTAAGCTCAATCCCAATGAGGCATCAACGAAATCGGACATCTCCCAATCGTCATCAGGTCCGTCATCTTCTACCGGTCGACTTCCACTGCCGGTTGCCAACTGTCGACACCCTTTTTTCGAACTTAACCGACTGAGATTGTCGTGTAATCGGATTTTCAGGCCTTAGGCCTCACCGCCTCAGCTTCAAAGTCGACATCGAGTAGGTCAGCCTTCGCCCTTCTTTCCGATTTCTCCTCTTCCAGTCTGTCAAAAACTGATTTCAGTTATCGATTTTTGTCAAATAGTCCATGGGATTGTCAATTTCAGCTTATTTTTTCGTGGGCTTATTATACGAATGTTTGGGTAACTGATTTGGTAATGCTTGATGGGATGTCAATGAAAAGTTTAGTGATTGATGACTCTCTAGAGAAATATCACATCTGAGCTTTCGTATGTGGTTATTTTGATTTTTGAATTTCTGATACATTTGAGAGTATCTGATTTTTGTGAATTTGCTATGATGTTCCTGTGATTTCTCATTTTTGATGTTGTTGCTGACCGGAGGAATGGGGGCAGGACCAGGGGTGATGGAGGTAATCAGGGGCGGGATCGGGGTAATGTAAACGAGGGATCTGGGGGCAGGGGCAACAACTGATTTTGGGGGCGGGGCAGGGGTAGCTATTTCTGCCCCCTTTTGGTCCCATTGACATCCCTAATTACATCAAATTTGCACGTCTGCATCCATGTGATGATCGTCAAATCATTATCCAAACTGAGCGTGAGAGATTGAGAACCTTCTATTCTACCAATGCACGTCCCGAAAAGGAAGTGTGGTCTCGGAAGAGTATTACCATGATAGTTGGTCATGGTAGAAAGGTCCAAGGTAAGTTTGATCTTGACTGGCTTCTATATAAGTACTTCATATTTTGAAACAAGAAATCCTCCATCACCATCACTGATACAGAATTCCATTCAATGAATCCATCACCATCACGAATGCAGACTTCCCTTCAATGAATCCAAACGACATTCTTGTCATAGCTGCTCATCTACTTTCTAAAGGACTACATCACTGAATTCTATAGATCCGATGTGGAGTTCGCTCATCTTTTCGGAATGGAAAACTTTTTGGCCAAGATCATTACGAACTTCATAAAACTCAGATCTTAGCATATGGTCCAATTAAAGAACCAGAATTTAGTGATGTGTACCTCGAGAAGAAGACTAATCAAAAAGAATTTTTCAGAGTTCTTAACAAACACCTTGTTCCCACAAAGATTCTTCATAAGGTCATTTCAAATGCTGCAAAGAGTGATTTTTTCAAGCACATCAAGATGAAATTTATTAAGCATCTCCAATGGTACATCGAAGTTCGAAGTTGGCTCCATAGTGCCTACTTGTTTGTGTTTGACGAAGCGAAGTGATGAATTGGATGATTGCTAAGGTCACTTAGGGGGGTTGTTAGAACATGAAAAGTGATCCTTAAGCAATCTGAGGTGGAGCATGTCCAAGATAATCAATTCTGAAGAGAAGACTAGTATGAAGTAGAAGATTAGTCTGAGATGCATCTTACTGTTAGAATGTTTCTAAGTTTGTAATATACATTTATTATTCTAAGTACTATTTTGTTGTTTTCCTATTGTTTGATAGTATAGTACATGCGAACAAAATCAATCGAAGCGGTTGTGTCAGTCTGTTGATCTTCAGATGTCTAATAGTCCACGCTTACTTTTATAGTTTGTCTTTTAGTTACTCATTGGCTATTAAAGGAGTGGTCACCCTTGTATTAAGTACGTGGAATATAGACCTTTTTCACACCAATCAATAATTATTGAGTCAATCATTCTCTCTTACATTCTTATTATTCTTGAACTACTTTATACTCTTCATACTTAATCTTTTTATACTTTTGATCACTTTGTTGAATATCTTAATTCCGAGACAAGACTAGTTTACTAGACTTGACCAGATACTTATTATAAGCAAACATTGATCTTAAATTAATTCATGGGTTGAGTTCTCAAACCTTGTCCGCACACCATGTATAGCATTCACATATCTACCTCAGAGCCTCACTAAATATGACATTATCCAAATCTTAGAAAAACACATTAAAAAAATCAGAACTAGAGAGAAATATAGAGAATGATTGGTGTGAGTGAAAGAATGAGGCAAATGGGGGTATCTATAACGAATTTCGGAAGGTGCACCGTGCACCTGGTTAGGGGTGCTGATGTGGCATTGTCTGGGTGGTGACATGTATCGAAATCCTATAGTGGTTCAAAAGTATGTCGCGTCTCTTGTATGTGTGCACGACTGTGTGCAAAAAATTCTGCTTTCTTCAAAATTCATATCTTCTTCATATGAGCTCTGTTTTCGACGTATTTTATATCCATGTGTAGTTATCAATGAGATCTACAACTTTCCTTTAGACACGGTCGGCTAATTCTCACTTTATTGTTATTATGTAATTTTAGTAGGCTTAGCATGCTAAAGTTCATATATAAATCACAACTTTTTCATACGATATTCCTTTCTCAAATGTCTTTATGTTGACGGATAGGTATTAATAATATATTCAACTTTTGTTTAGATTATTTTTTCTAACAATCGACCGATTTTAATTTCGATTTCTGAGTCATATTTCTACGATGAAACTTTGAAAAATCATAACTTACTCTCACGGAGTCAAATTTGGACGTTCTTTATATGCACACTCTCGGATGTACAACTAACGATTTTCGTTTAAATCACTTATGCTAATAAGTATCTATCAAAAATTCACTTTTTAAGATACGCAGAGTTGTGTCGGTTTAATCGCAAATCTTCGAAGAAGCATAGCTTCTTCATGCGAAGTGAGATTTCAACATTCTTTATATGTACATAATTTTTGTCACACATACTATAATTTCGATTAAGATTATTTATCCTAAATAATCTTCTTTTAAAAAATCATTTCTATCGCTTATTATATCTTATTTTTCTAACCCAAGTTTTTGGGCGTTACAATATCTCACACCCTATTGCCCTTCGCTCTCTCTCTCTCTCTCTCTCTCTCTCTCTCTCTCTCTATATATATATATATATATATATATATATATATATATATATATATATATATATATATATATATATATATATATATATATATATATATATATATATATATATATATATATATATATATCATTACTATATATGAAAGCCCTTTTCTTATGGTGCCGCCAAAATGAAATTCATAGGGTTAAAGTTCGTCCACGTACCCCACTATCTGAACGACACAACGTATGCAAACGTTGATTAAATCTTTCTGATGTTGCGTACAACCAATTCACTCTGTTCTAATACCTCCCTGCAATCCGCCTTCAAAACGACACAACTTACCATTAGGTCGATTCAATCCTTCGTGCCGTCGTTTCTCCTTCGACGCCTCGCTTTCTATATAAACCCTTTTCCTCTGGCACGTCCATAGCGTATTATTACGTTTCCAAGATGTCATGTTCCTCAACTTTTGGATCGGTTTGGCTCACCCGTCTGGTATGTGTTTTTTGTTTTTTTTTTTTTTTTTTTTTTTTTTTTTTTTTAATTTTGGTTCCAATTTTGCTAAAGTCTCTTTCGGTGTTTAACAATACCTCAAATTTTTCCCTAATTCGAGAAATTAAATAGATTTTCAGATTTACATCTAGGGTTTTAATTCTTTTGTTCGGTATTGAGTTTCTGATTGCATCTTCTCTCTTTCTCTATTCTTTTGTCCCTTGATGTCTTCCCTTTAGAAATCGATCTATGTTTTTCTGTCTAAAATGAAAGTGGCTCTCCCCTGGAAAATTCTTGGATTAATCTACATATTGTTATGGAGCCTGATGAAATCAAGAAAAGAAAGCAAGGTCTACATGGTTATTAAATTGAAAATCGGGAATTAAGATGTGGACCTGTCATTAGGTAAAAAAAAAAAAAAAGATGCCCAAATGATTCTAAGAAACTGAAGGAATGTAAGAAAGCTAGTATGTTGTTTTGTATGGAACATTATCATTTTACTATGATAAAATTTTGAGCATAATGCTTCAGTTAAAATGAATCCATGGTTGATGAAAATATAAGAGAACCAATGGATAGTGATTGTTTGATGTTGTGAATGGACATCCAATTTCCATTGTTAATTTGAATAATAATTTTAAATATATTATGACATAACCTTGCACCCATCGGGGCTCTCATCTGGCTTTTGTCTTTGATGTCACAACAACAATGACCAAAATTATAAGCTCTATGACCAAAATGAACCACATGGGTCATTTTTGTAATTTACTATGCTAATTATGATTAGGAATTTCTATGTAAGGAAGAAATAGTTTGATGAAAGATTCTGGCGATAGCCCTTTAATTAGTTTACTTTGCTTTTCCTTTGGTTATTAATATTAGAATCACAAGACATGATTTTACATAATAAAAAATAACTATTTAGTTACGAGCATGGTTATTTGTTATTTCTATTCCTAGAGTCCAATTACCAATAGCAATGAATATGAAAATTGTTAATTCTTTTTCACTGTAGAAGCCATTTACATGATTTATAACTATACCCAAATTTCTCTTTGTCAACAATAAATGTTTAATCCCCTTCAATCAATCAACAACATCAACTACTTATGTATTAATTGCTTTCTAAAAGGTGCATTGTGTTGGCTTGGATTTATAATTAACCACTTAAGTTTTTTTTTTATGTATAGTGCTTTTGGTTTGCAAATTCTATCCATTTGCAGTGCAATATCGAGGGATTGATTTGTGACATTGAGTTCACTCAGACATAACCTGATTACTTTGTGATTCTTTTTCTTTCTATTATATGTAGGAAAGTTTAGTTTAATTGAATCATTGAGCTGGTAATCTGGTTGACAGTTAGGGAGTCCTGAATCTTGATATTGGTGGCAGGTCTGGTAGCATTTTTCAAGTTAAATCTAATGTTTGTAAAACTTTCTATAAAACCCTATCTCAATCAGATAAAATATATAGCAGGTGCTTGCAAATGGGAAGTTTACAAGATTTTTGGGCAGAAATTTGCAACTGTAGATCGCCCATATTTCTTTTTCATTGTAAATATGCAAGTGATTTTGTTTGGTTCAAATGTACATTCAATGATTTGCTTAACAAGATGCAAAGTAATTCTTTATCTTTTATGAATTGTAGACTCAACCCCTATGCAAAAACAAGTTGTTGCACAAAATTTTAACCAGGAAATGAGTAATTATAACTGTAATGAAGGGATTTCTAGAGGTGGAAACATTAGGGAGGGGCAACAAAGAGTAATACGTTGTTTTAACACTGGATAAGTGTGAGAGAAAAAAAAAAAAGTCGGTGGGAGCTCCTACCGGAACCTTTTTTTTACTACATTTTCATTATGGACATCATGGAGGTAAACAATTAGTTCTTCCTTTTACTCATTTACTCAAAATTATATTGATTAGAGTATATTTTGGATATAATTATAGAGATTAGCTCAAACGAGTCAAATGTGTCAGATTTTTCCCAATCCTTCATGTTGTGTAATGTGTCGCAAACACAATCTATTTTCCTTAATAGTTGAATTCAAAGACAACCCCAAAAACTCAAATAAGCCTACATGATAATCTTTTATATATTTGCAGTTCTCTCTTTAAACAACAAAGTGATGAGGACAGTATGTTCAAAAAATTTAGAGAGCCATTAATGACTTGATCAAGTCAAATTTCATATTTTTGTTGTCAATTTATTGATATTTGAGTTCTAATATTCAAAATTTGAAGAATAAATCTACTACTCGTCAGAGTTCTGTCCAAACACATTATCTTTTCGCCTTTTTTTCAACTTCTAAAGTGAGTTTTATAAGATACATACAACTTCAATGTTTCCTTTTGTTTTCTTGGTATCTAGTTGGTTGTTTTGTTTTTTTGG